CCCGGCGCGCGGGGCGCGACCCCGGGGGAGCGCCTCGCGGCGGCGAAGCACAAGGTGCTGTTGACGGTCGGGGCGTTGAAGGAGATGCAATCGACGCTGCACAGAAGCGTCCGGGCGCTTGCAGGGGCGGTGGTGTTCTTGCGGGAGCTTCCGCCGAAGTTGAACTCCGTAATCCAGCCGCTGATGGGGTCGGTGCGGTTCGAGCGGAAGCAAGTCTGCAGCTGCTGGCGATGCATTGCGACCCTCGCAGAAGCGGCGACCGAGTTAGCAATGCTCTCCGTTTTGAGCACGTTAACACCGATGTTGGGAGACGCAAAGAAATGCTGAGGCGCGGAGGGGCGCTGCCGGGGCGGTCCTAACAGTCGGAAACCGACCCGAGCTGACTCCCTATCCCGGCGCCCAGTATTTTTGAAAGCACGTTGGTTGGCAATGAAAATTGCTCCGAGTGCATCCAGTTTCCTTGCTTACATGTTCGCTGGCTCCGAATCTAGACAGACTGATATAAATGTTAGGTGGTCTGTACTTCAACCCGTGGAGTGACGAAAAGTTCTGCACTGCGTTTGAAGCTCAATCCGGCCGGAGGCACGGTTTCTGTCTTGGTGTCTGCGTTCCGTCTTGCCTCAACTCTGCCAACAAAGTTCACCCGGATAATTGGGGTGCAGAAAGCGAACGGCGTGATTTCACGCCACCGCCTCTCAGAGAGCATTTTTCAAACGGATTCCTCCGTTATAAATAGAGTCCGCGCCCTAGAAAAGTTGATCTGGCTTCGTTATATGCACTTCCCGAAATGCTTTGCATTCGAGGCTGTCAACTTTATTATCCCTCTAGCTCAGCGCCTCTATTTTGGACCAGTGAGAACTGATTAGCACTCATTGCCTCATTGGCATGCCTCCATTCCAACCAAACGGACCACTTTATCACGACAGCGCTGCCGCGGTCGGCCATGCTTCGACACTTGGGTATGTAGACCGGTTACAACGTGTACGGTAGAAACCAGGCCCTAAAAGGGCGTGATCTCGTCTGTGATCTAATACGTTTGTATATTTTAGATCGGTGGCTGACTAAATTTGGCGAAGAAGGCGGGTCCTAAGGAATTCTACGCCCATCCAGACGGTATAGGGGAACCTGGTCAACAGCCGAGTGGGCATATCGTGCGACACATGGATCTGCAGTTATGTACTACATAATGTAGTACCGCTTAATGGAAGCGTCCACATATCGGAATGCATGCAGATCGTCTGTGGAGCATCTGAATGTCATCGATCCTGGCAAGTGCCGGTGAACGTGGAATGCAGAGTTCCGGCGGCTTTGTGCCAGAGTAGGTACATCAGGCAACTTGTATGTGGCGAAAGGAATTCAATCGCAGGCTTAGCTTAGAGACGATTCAAAGTGGAAAGTCCCCTGCGCATGAGCCAGCAGCTATTGTTATCGGGCTTCTCAAATTGCCGGCTGAGTGCTTTTATGCATGTCGATTGAGTCGATCGGAGTCGAAGCTAGCTGACGAAAACGTGTTAAGTAACCAATAATGCAAAGCTAGAGACGAGCCTCGAGTGACCATTGTCTCGTTCCAGCTTTTGAGTTTCTCTGATATCTGTTCGGCGATTCCAATGACAGATCCCGTTTCGTGGGAGATTGCAGTTTACATCGTAAAAAGATGACCAGATCTTCTACATGTCCCGGGAGAGTTTTTTTGATTAATCTAGCGCATAATCGCATAATTTCCGGATCAATCCTCACCTTTCTTCCATGGAAGAAAGGCGCGTATGAGTCGGACAAAGAGTCAAGCTTGCTCGGTGGCGGCTTCGGCTGGTGTTGTCGAAGCTTGAAATAAGCGCGGTGCTGCGGGACACACCATCTGCCATCGGGCGGCGTGCACGAGTTGCTTGGATCACAGGAGTGGTAGACCGCGACGCTGCAATGAAGCTAGAGAGAGAACAGGTTCGCAGCTCTATCGAATGAATAATAGATCCGCATGCATAAGACAAATTCAACTTAAATGACACGTCTTCTATTGTTAGACGCCTGCAGGGCTCAAAGGCAGCCAAGGGCGCCCGTGATTTGAAAGGTAGGACCTGGCAACGGAGGGTTGCGTTGAGCGCGCACAGCGAAAATTGAGCCTTCTCCATGCGAGCAATGCACCCTCGGTCGGTCCTTCGCCAACGAGCCCTGCTACAAGGTACCTTAATGGGATTCAAATGCGCAGCAGCAGTTGCTGTCCCTAGGCCGTACCACTCAAGCCTTCAATCAGTGCAAGGAGTCTCAATCTGGCAATTCAAAAACACATCGGGGACGCAAAAGCACGGCCGATCAAGACAAATTCATGAATGGATGGGGAAGCCGTTGTCGTTCTTCCGCAAAGGATAAATTTTAAAGATCACCATCTGTTCGATCAGGGCGAGCAATTACTTGCTTCTCGCGGAAGCTGCATACATGTAAATTTGACGCAAACGAGAAGGCGAAGTTGAGATAGTACCAGTCATATGCATACCGCGAGCATCTGGACTCATAAAGCTGCTTTTTGAGCCTGGCCACAGCAGCGGCATCGACCTTACGAGAGGACCTCAAGAGAACCTCAAGAGGAACACCTGCACCAAAAAACAGTCAACATGCTGCTTAATCTAGGGGAGTCGACAAGCCCGACGAAAGCGGAGTTGAGGTGGTGGCTAATTCGTAGGCTTTCCACGCAATTATCACTGGAAGCGCGATACATGGTTGTGGCAAACTGCTATCGCTTTCAAGTACTTTACGAACTTTACTATTTGCTGCTGATTACAGAGTCTCGACGGCGAAGTAAGTAGCATGAAGCAGCGGCATACTGATCGCCACCATCTTGTTGAGAAAAGACAAAGCAGGCTTTAGGAATAGAAGAAACAAAGAAGGTAGTCTTTCTAAAAGAGGAACAGAGGAGTTGAAGCCATCGGAACCTTTTCGTCGGCTATTGCACTGAAGCATGTCAAATTGATGAAGAACGGCATAAACAAATAAAGGGGGGAGAAGGATACCGAATAGCAAAAGGTGCGCGTCGCTACCCGTTGCCTCAGCCTCGGGATCAGAGTCTCTTCAAGCCAACCCTCCAAGGAGAGGTCAGAAACTTCGAGAAATTTACATATCCTCATCGACTCGGGTTGCGTGAGTCGAACCCGCGATCTCAGGGTGATGTGCGAGACACCTAGTATCCCCTGAGTCACGCCCGCGCCCAACATCTACAACATGCACGAGCAGAGAATTATAAGAAGGGATTACACATGTCACGGGCTGCGCCCGACACGGGCGAGCATGCGCATAGGACGCTGACTCAGCTTTCAGATATGTGCCATGTCGTAGTGCGATTCAAAAGTTCATAAAGCACTTCAATTGTGACGATCCAGCGGCTGACACCTTAATTTTAAGTTGGACCATCATCTGCACGTGCACGAACACCTCTGAAAGTGATTAGGGTGCTGAAGAAGGCGGGTGAACTGGCCCCCAGTGGCATGAAGCACAAGGCGCCGCTCTGGAAAAGAAAGAGGGTGGCCTTTTCTTGGAGCGATTAAGAAGGTGGCACCTTACTTGCGGACTAGAGTCATGACATCATCAAATCGAGGTCCTAGCTGTGCAGATGCGTTCGAAGCATTTGATAGGTATGTTCCTCGCTCATGCAAACGGCTGTAACACATTGTAACGATTACGACTGGTT